GAGAGGTGGTTCTGAAGGGTGTTTTAGAAATGGTTGTTTAGGAGGATTGGTTTAGGAAGGTGGGTCAGGAGGGATGGCTCTGGGGAGGTGGCTCAGGTGAGTGGTTTAGGAGGGATGGTTCAGGAGGGGTGGTTTAGTAGGGATGGTTCAGGAGGGGTGGTTTAGTAGGGATGGTTCAGGAGGGGTGGTTTAGTAGGAATGGTTCAGGAAGGGTGGTTTAGTAGGGATGGTCAGGAGGGGTGGTTTAGTAGGAATGGTTCAGGAAGGTGGTTAGAGGGGTGGTTCAGGAAGGGTGCTTAGTAGGGTGTTCAGGAGGGGTGGTTTAGTAGGGGTGGTGTGAGGGGTGTGGGGTTTAGGAGGGTGTGAGAGGTTTAGTAGGGGGTGGTTCAGGAGGGGGAGTGGTTAGGGAGGTGTGTGAGGGGTGGTTTAGTAGGGGTGGTTCAGGAGGTGGTTTAGTAGGGATGGTTCAGGAGGGGTGGTTTAGTAGGGATGGTTCAGGAGGGGTATTAGGGGTGGTTTCAGGAAGGGTGGTTAAGAAGGGGTGGTTCAGGAGGTGGTTCAGGAGGGGTGGTTTAGTAGGGATGGTTCAGGACGGGTGGTTTAGTAGGGGTGGTTCAGGAGGGGTGGTTTAGTAGGGATGGTTCAGGAGGTGGTTTAGTAGGGATGGTTCAGGAGGGGTGTTTAGTAGGGATGGTTCAGAAGGTGAGTAGGGATGGTTCAGAGGTGGTTACAGGGATGGTTCAGGAGGGTGGTTTAGTAGGGATGGTTCAGAGGGGTGGTTTAGTAGAAATGGTTCAGGAAGGTGATAGTAGGGGTGGTTGAGAGGGGTGGTTTAGTAGGGGTGGTTCAGGAAGGGTGAGTAGGGGTGGTTCAGGAGGGGTGGTTTAGTAGGGATGGTTCAGAAGGGTGGTTTAGTAGGGGTGGTTCAGGAGGTGGCAGTAGGGGTGGTTCAGGAAGGGTGGTTTAGTAGGGGTGGTTCAGGAAGGTTGGTGTTAGTAGGGGTGGTTCAGGAGGTGGTTTAGTAGGGATGGTTCAGGAAGGGTGGTTAGTAGGGGTGGTTCAGGAAGGGTGGTTTAGTAGGGTGGTTCAGGAGGGGTGGTTTAGTGAGGGATGGTCTGGGAGGGGTGGTTTAGTAGGGGTGGTTCAGGAGGTGGTTTAAGGATGGTTCAGAAGGGTGGTTTAGTAGGGTAAGTCTGGAGGGGTGGTTTGTAGGGGTGGTTCGAGAAGGGTGGTTTAGTAGGGGTGGTTCAGGAGGGGTGTTCAGGAGGGGTGGTTAGGGGATGGTTAAGGAGGGGTGGTTTAGTAGGTGTGGTTCAGGGGAGGGGTGGTTTGTAGGGATGGTCAGGAGGGGTGGTTTAGTAGGATGGTTCAGGAGGGTGGTTTAGTAGGGATGGCAGGAGGGGTGGTTTAAGGGATGGTTCAGGAGGGTGGTTTAGTAGGAATGGTTCAGGAAGGATGGTTCAGGAGGGGTGGTTTAGTAGGGGTGGTTCAGGAGGGGTGGTTTAGTAGGATGGTTCAGGAGAGGTGGTAGGGATGGTTCAGGAGGGTGGTTGGTGGCTAGTAGGGGTGGTTCAGGAGGGGTGGTTTAGTAGGGTGGTTCAGGAGGAGGTTATAGGGTGGTTCAGAGGGGTGGTTTAGTAGGGGTGGTTCAGGGGGGTGGTTTAGTAGGGGTGTTGCAGAGGGTGGTTTAGTAGGGGTGGTTCAGGAAGGGTGGTTTAGTAGGGGTGGTTCAGGAGGGTGTTCAGGGGTGGTTTAGTAGGGATGGTTCAGAGGGGTGGTTTAGTAGGGGTGGTTCAGAGGGGTGGTTTAGTAGGGATGGTTCAGGAGGGGTGGGTAGGGAGGTTCAGAGGGGTGGTTTAGTAGGGGGTCTCAGGAGGGGTGGTTTAGTAGGGGGTTCAGGAGGTGGTAGTAGGGATGGTTCAGGAGGGTGGTTTATAGGGATGGTTCAGGAGGGGTGGTTTAGTAGGATGGTTCAGAGGGTGGTTTAGTAGGGTGGTTCAGAAGGTGGTTTAGTAGGGTGGTTCAGGAGGGTGGTTTAGTAGGGATGGTTCAGGAAGGGTGGTTTAGTAGGGGTGGTTCAGGAGGGTGGTTTAGTAGGGGTGGTTTGGGAAGGTGGTTTAGTAGGGATGGTTCAGGGAAGTGGTGGTTTAGTAGGGGTGGCAGGAGGTGGGTTTAGTAGGGATGGTTCAGGAAGGTGGTAGTAGGGTGGTTCAGGGGTGGTTTAGTAGGGGTGGTTCAGGAGGGGTGGTTTAGTAGGGATGGTTCAGGAGGGGTGGTTTAGTAGAGGTGTGGTTCAGGAGGTGGTTTAGTAGGGATGGTTCAGGAAGGGTGGTTTAGTAGGGGTAGTTCAGGAGGTGGAGTAGGGGTGGTTCAGGAAGGGTGGTTTAGTAGGGGTGGTTCAGGAGGGTGGTTGTGGGAGGGGTGGTTTAGTAGGATGGTTTAAGGAGGGGTAAGGAGTAGGTGTGGTTCAGGAGGGGGTTTTATAGGGTGGTTGTAGGGGTGGTTAGCAGGGGTGGTCAGAAGGGTGGTTTAGTAGGATGGTTGGTGAGGTAGTTTAGGGGTCAGGAGGGGTGGTTTTAGGGGTGGTTCAGGGTGGTTGTAGAATGGTTCAGAAGGGTGGCTTAGTAGGGATGGTTCAGGAGGTGGTTTAGTAGGATGGTTCAGGAAGGGTGGTTTAGTAGGGATGGTTCAGGAGGTGGTTTAGTAGAATGTGGTGTGGTTAGGGGTGGTTCAGGAAGGGGTGGTTTAGTAGGGGTGTTCAGGGAGGGGTTGTTAGTAGGGTGGTTCAGGAGGGGTGGTTTAGGAGGGTGTGGTTCAGGGAGGGGTGGTTTAGTAGGGGTGGTTCAGGAGGTGGTTTTAGTAGGGTGGTTCAGGAGGGGTGGTTTAGTAGGGGTGGTTCAGGAGGGGTGGTTTGGTAGGGATGGTTCAGGAGGTTTTAGTAGGGATGGTTCAGGAGGGGTGGTTTAGTAGGGGTGGTTCAGGAAGGGTGGTTAAGTAGGGTGGTTCAGGAGGGTGGTTCAGGAGGGTGGCTTAGTAGGGATGGTTCAGGACGGGTGGTTTAGTAGGGGTGGTTCAGGGGGTGGTTAGGGGTGGTTCAGGAGGGGTGGTTTAGGGGTGGTTTAGTAGGATGGTTCAGAGGGTGGTTTAGTAGGGTGGTTCAGAGGTGGTTTAGTAGGGATGGTCAGGGGTGGTTTAGTAGGGGTTCGGAGGGGTGGTTTAGTAGGGATGTTCAGAGGGTGGTAGTAGGGTGGTTCAGAGGGGTGGTTTAGCAGGGGGGTGGTTAGTAGGATGGTTCAGAGGGGTGGTTTAGTAGGGGTGGTTCAGAGGTGGTTTAGTAGGGGTGGTTCAGGAAGGTGGTTTAGTAGGGGTGGTTCAGGAGGGGTGGTTTAGTAGGGATGGTTCAGGAAGGGTGGTTTAGTAGGGGTGGTTCAGGAGGGGTGGTTTAGTAGGGTGGTTCGGGGGGTAGGGGGGGAGGGTGGTTTAGTAGGGGTGGTTCAGGAGGGGTGGTTTAGTAGGATGGTTGTAAAGGTGGTTTAGCAGGGTGGTTCAGGAGGGGTGGTTTAGTAGGGTGGTCAGGAGGGGTGGTTTAGTAGGGATGGTTCAGTAGGTGTTAGGAGGGTTTAGTAGGGGTGGTTCAGGAGGGGTGGAGATGGAGGGGGTGGTTTAGTAGGGTGGTTCAGGAGGTGGTTTAGTAGGGTGGTTCAGAGGGTGGTTTAGTAGGGTGGTTCAGGGGTGGTTAGTAGGGGTGGTTGAGGGTGGTTAGTAGGGTGGTCAGGAAGGGTGGTTTAGTAGGGGTGGTTCAGGAGGGGTGGTTTTAGGGATGGTTCAGGAGGGTGGTTTAGTAGGGGTGGTTCAGGAAGGGTGGTTTAGTAGGGTGGTTCAGGAGGGGTGGTTTAGTAGGGTGGTTCAGGAGGGTGGTTTAGTAGGGTGGTTCAGGAGGGTGGTTAGTGTGGTAGGTGGTTCAGAGGTGGTTGGGTGTGGTTTAGAGGTGGGGGGTGGTTTAGTAGGTGGTCAGGAGGGGTGGTTAGTAGGGTGGTTTCAGGAAGGGTGGTTTAGTAGGGGTGGTTCAGGAGGGGTGGTTAGTAGGGGTGGTTTAGTAGGGATGGTGAGGGTGGTTTAGTAGGGGTGGTTCAGGAGGGTGGTTTAGTAGGATGGTTCAGGAGGGTGGTTTAGTAGGGAGGGTCAGGAGTGGTTAGTAGGATGGTCAGGGAGGGTGGTTTAGGATGGTTCAGGAGGGGTGGTTTAGTAGGGTGGTTCAGGAGGGTGGTTTAGGGGATGGTTCAGGAGGGTGGTTAGGATGCTGGGGGGGTTGAGGGTGTTAGGGGGGTGGTTCAGGAGGGGTCGTTTAGTAGGGATGGTTCAGGAGGAGTGGTTTAGTAGGGGTGGTTCAGGAGGGGTGGTTTAGTAGGGGTGGTTCAGGAGGGGTGGCCACCATGTCATCATGAATAATAATTTTTAATCGTGTTACTGAATTATTTTTTCAATAAGAGTAAAGTAAGAAAATCCATATACAGTATCTGTCTTTTTGATCAGTGCAACTTGTGTTATTTAATTTATTTTTTCAATTCAATCATAAATAATTCTAAAAAATACTCCCAGATAAATTGCGGACTCATTTCTCACTTCTGACGTTATTTTGGTTAATTTGCATATCAATATGAACGTAGTGGAAAAACATCAGATAATGGAGGAGAGTACTGTACATGGTATGCTCTACCGATATCCTCTGGCATTAGATAGCATTCTTCATTTCCCCAATATGCAATTATTACATTGCGGAAGTGTTATAAATACTGAAATTCTTCAGTTTCATTATTTCTGGGTTATATTGATTCAGTTGTATAAAACAATTCAATGCTAGATATTCTGTCATAGAGTTTCTAGATGATTATAATATTAGTGGTGTTGTGTTTTATGAAGAATTGTATGTCGTTATCTCAGGAGGCATGAGAGTGACTGAAAAAGTCTTGTAGATGACAGTGTAATTGTTGTTCTTACAGGCGGACTCTCGGACATGCCAGCTGCGTACGCCTTCGCTCTCTACGCTGCCTTGGCCCTCGTAATCGACTTCGTGCTCCAGATGACCTGCTTCGTAGCTCTCATGTCCCTTGACGCTCGGCGAGTTGAGGTAAGTTTGGGTTATGCAGTCAAGATCAAAGGAAGTCATGAACAAAGCGAGGTCAGTTATAGGTCACAGAGACTCAAGTTAGCATAGGTCATGTGAGATTCATCTAACCTTACCTAACTTTACTACCTTAAATGTTAGGTTTGGTTAGGTTAGGTTAGGTTAGGTTAGGTAATACAATTCACACATAAAACCACTGAGCATAATTGGACCAAAGTAATATGCGTGAGCTTTGCCATTCCACTGGAAAAATCACTGTGGGCCTGAATCTTTAGTTTTAACATAAAATATAAGAAAAGAAGAAATTGAACAAACTTGTACCGAAAAACAACTATTATACTAGCAAACTGTGTATTACGCAGAAACATAGTAATTAATGTATTGTAAACCAGTTTTTGTGAGTAGTAATTATTCATTTTTTTTTTTACGGGGAATAGCCCACCCGGGCACAGGTCATCGACGCACAACGTGGCCTAGGGGCGAAAAAATAAGAAAAGAAAGAAATTAAAAATACAAAAGGAAGATGCCGGAAAACCACCTTTTCAAAGTGAGACAGATTATATGAGTGTGGAAACACAAAAGAAGGCAGATCATTCCACAGTTTGGCTGTGTGAGGAAAGAAGGATGTACTATAACGGGTTATTCTAGTATGATCGACACCCACAGAGAAACGGTGGGCACTGCGGGCAAGACGTGTATTACGAACCCACGGCCTTGCCGGCTGTACACAGGATGCCAAATCCACCGAACAGTGCCCGTTAAAGTACCTGTAAAAGAGAGAGAGAGTGAAGCAACATTGCGGCGAAGAGAAATGGAAGAATGATTGTCAACTAAAGGAGGAGACTTAATAAGACGAAATGCCTTTGATTCCACCCTATCTAACAATTGGACAGAAGAAGAGCCACCCCAGATATGAGAGCAGTACTCCAAGTTAGGACGAATGAATCCCTTTTATACTTGAAGCAACTGCTCAAGAGTGAAGTAGCTACGGCATCTTTACAACATTCCCAGCTTTCGGGAGGCAGCTCTAGCAATGTTGAGGATGTGTTGCTTCCATGACATATTAAAGGAAATGGTGAGGCCTAGCATGTCTATTTTAAAATTTGGCAGAATGATTGTGTCTTGAAATGTGATTGGTGGGGGATCATCTGATTTGCAAAGTGTAATTGGTATATACTGAGTTTCATTACTATTGAATTTAAACAAGTTTCTACCTCCCCATTTGGAGATGCTGCACAGATCCGCATTGATAGATGTAATGATATCAGCTCTAGAAATTGATCTAGTTTGAGAGTTAGGGGGAAGGGGAAAATGTGAAGAACAGAACCCCGTAGGACACCACTATTGGTAGAGAAAGAGCGAGAGATCGATCCCTCGACAACAACTGCCATGGATCGGTTCTCAAGGAAGCTAGAGATAAGAGAACAAAGTGGGGGAGAGAAACCATAAGAGGGAAGTTTAGAAAGCAAAGACTTGTGCCATACCCTGTCAAATGCTTTGGAGATGTCAAGGGCCAAGACGAAAGTTTCCCCATAATCCCTAAAAGAGGATGAATAAAGATGGGTGCAGTAGGAGAGTAGATCACCAGTAGATCTCTCCTGGCGAATGCCATACTGGTGATCCGACAAAAGAGAAAGGCGTTCAAGGTGACGGAGAAAATGAGAGTTCAAGATTGTTTCGAAAATCTTAGAGAGGGATGAAGTTAGGGCAATGGAGCGATAGTTAGAGGTATTAGAATGGTTACCCTTCTTCGGGATGGGCTGAACCAAGGCATGCTTCCAAGAAAAAGGAAAAGTTTGGGTTTTGAGGCAAAGGCGAAAGAGGCGAGCAAGTACAGGAGCCAGAACTTCAGCACACTCCATCAGAACACGAGGGGGTATTCCGTCCGGTCCATACGCTTTACTCACATTCAACCTGGATAACACACCGGCATCCCTACGAGTGGAGATTATAGGAAAGCGTATAAGTTTAGGGGTAGGAGGAGCAGGGGTAGGAGGGATAGAGTTGGAATCGTCTAAAGTAGAGTTAGAGGAGAATATGGTGCCAAAGAGATTGGCTTTATTAGGGGAAGAGTTGGCTGTAGAGTTATCAGGTCGGAAGAGAGGAGGAAAAGAGGAAGTGCAAAAGTTATTACAGATGTTTTTGGATAAGGACCAGAAGGATTTACTAGATGAAGAAATAGTCAGGACAGCGGTATAAGTGCGGTATAAGGTGTTGTATCCCAGCTAAAAAAGAAAAACTAACCCAGGTAAATAAGGAATCACGACTTGAATTTGCTAGACACTATACCCAGGATGTGCATGATGAACATTTTTGGAACTCGGTGATCTGGACGGACGAAAAATCATTCATGACAACTGCTGCAAACACTCAAGTTTTTTGGCGATCTCTAAACACCAGGTATGCTGCACCAAACATACAGGAATTGAGAAGAAGTGGGTGCTGTAGTGTGAGTTTCCATGGTTGGATGTGGTCTGGGGGACTAGGAGACTTGACACGAATAGACGGTAACCTTAATTCAGAAAAAAAAACAGACACTTGAAACAATTATTCCCTCCATTCGTGCTCCTAACCCAGTTCGATTTGTTCATGATCGAAGCTTATCCGTACGAGCCGCTTGGTCAGGGATTGGTTTCTAGAACATCCAGATATTGAAGTTAAAGATTGGCCAAGCAATGATGTGACGTCAACGTCATTGAAAATGTGTGGGCAATGGTGATGAGGACATGGGATATACAGGACAAGCGAAACCAGGCAGCTATAGTAAATCATGCCATTGCGGAATAGGAAAATTTAAGACGTCTGCCCAACTATTGTCAACGTCTTGTTGATTCAGTTCCAGAAAGGATGAATACAATAATTGAGGCTAATGGGGGATGAGGAAAGTAGTAATTGCTTGGTCAGTCTGTAATATAATTATCTGGTTGTTATGAAAAAGATAACGAGAAAACAATTAATGTAAATGATATGGTGCGTTTGGTTGGGTGCCTATGAATCAACAATTGGTGCAGTTGATGGTAAGCTGTGTTTATCATAAATTAATTGTGTTTTCTTTATGACAAATATCATGCATTATTTACAAGAAAAATATATTATTGGTAATAATACTATTTGTGTTACAGTCGTTTCTTTTCAGTTAGATACATGATCGCTAAACAGAACGTTAGGCATTAATGCATGTGTTTATCACTATTTACAATTGCTTTATTTAGGACCATTCTTATGTTGTAATTATTATTATTTACCAGAAAAAATATATTATTGTTAATAATAAGATTTGTTTTACTGTAATTTCTGTTCAATACTTTGTTTACATGTCCACTTAACAAAATGTTAGAATGTAATGCATGTCATCAGTGGAAATGGTTACTTATTCTAAAAAGAAACCATCCAGGTTACTGGATATGGTTCGCATATTGCATATGTGTATTGAATTCAATTTGTTGGTGGGTTAGACTGCTGGCTGTCACCACATTTTCACCACATTACTGCACGTGGCCAATAAACATATGGGACGGCCGCTTCCCTGTTCACTAAATTGCTTCACGACCTATTTACTTTAGGAATAAATAACCTATTTTGCACATTGGTTTTAGGATGAATATAGTATAAAGACAGATGAATGAGGACAAGTAAACGCCACCGCTGTGGTTAGCCTCGAACACTATGACTTCACGGGATAATATCATCTTGCCCTAGAATTATATGATGTTTTATTCATCGTATTAATATGTGGTGTTATGAATGAGAGAGAGAGAGAGAGAGAGAGAGAGAGAGAGAGAGAGAGAGAGAGAGAGAGAGGAGGGGGCAGAGATTGTGAATGCAGTTAGAAAGAGGGCGAGAGGTAGGCAGGCAGAACCTGTGGGTGACTTTAGACTTAGAGAGAGAGAGAGAGGCCCTCGTATAATATGGTTTTGCTACGTCTGTCTGGTAACTCTAGTTGCTATACCTCTGACTGGGAATGGGTAGCACATTACTGATACTGAAAACGAGACTGCAGTTTATATATTTGTTTATTAGTTAACCAAGCTGTAATTTTCATCAGTGATATTGCACCTAGATTAGAACGTAATATCAATGACAAGATATTATCATGCACCGACTCCTCATTAGCCATAGCTGTTGTCATTGCCGCATAACCGGTGGACATGCAGTGGTCGCTGTGGTGTGGAGAGGAGACGTCAGTCACCTGAACGTGGGGTTGAGGTAGGAAACAAAGTGCAAACAGTCTTCCCGTTAATGACAATATACGGTATCAAGTTAGCCATTTATAGAGAGTAATCGGTCGAATTAAAAGAACGGAACTGTGAAAGTTTCGTATATTTAACATATATAACATATCATTACCATCTTTATTAAGATAAGGATTTACCTCAATAAGTATAGCAGAGCGGCAGCTAAACACTTGACCCCTCTCGGCTCTAGTCTCCACCTGGCAAAACCTCCTTTTTACCCCCCTCCCCTTCTCCACTCCCCCTGTATCGTATTGCTTCGTCTTCACCTATCGAAGCATCTCATGGTTCAGAGGACTGTGGTCATATTGTCCATGACAATTTTAACCCTTATATGATGTGACACAAATGCAAATGTGTAAACATTTTATGACATAACACAATATTTGCATGGACAAATATTCCTGTCAAACAGGTCTTAATTGAACACTCACAGTTCCAACAGTTTCACCGTGTATGTTCGTGTGTGCGCTGCCTCGTGCCCAAAGACCTGTCGTCCAGAAAGTGTGGGGTTGGGATTCACCCACACACACGGAGACCCCCACGAATTTTTATGAGTGACTGTATGTGTATTGCAGTAGGTGCATACACTTCCCTTAGAACGGGAAGAGGTATAATGGGTGTAGTTAGAGACTTGAAAAGGTTTGGGCAAAGCTGCTTTGGTCAGTTCAAGTTCGGAAAGAAGTAAGAAGTCGGGGGAAGAGGTTAATAGATGGTGCTCCACAGAAGGAAAATTGGATCTCAGGCCGCTAATGTTGGACAAATGAAGTGTGAAAAAAGCCGATCCTCCAGCAACCGCGGTGGCGTCAGTTGAGGCCCCAGTAGTTTGATGGTCAGGTCGGCTCTGGGGTTCACAACCTTCCCGACCAGTGGGATCCATCGGAGAAGGCCCCGCTTCAATATTAAAATCAACTGACATAGGAGAATAAAATAGAATGAATAGAGTAGCTTAAGAGAGAGCACGTGAATACTTGTGTTGTCAATAGTAAGAGGAACAATTGAGACCCTGCAATTGTGTATAAATGTGGCAGAAAGACAGATCAGCATATGGCTGCAGGGTCTACCATAAGGTAACACATTATGCTTCCAATATCTTCCCAGGCAGTAGTACCTCCCTGTTTGGTAGCTGCCTACTACCTACTACCTGCTGTATAAACCGACTAAATATAAGATATCCTAATACAGCTTTCTGTGTTGTGTTGGTTATGTTATGAATTTATTTTTTCCATTTACCGTCCTTTATATTTCAGTGATTGTGTGTAAACCACTTAAGTGTTTTAGACGTTGTGAAAAGGTCAGCAGATATGACCTATGCTGGAATAAAGGAAATAGCTTACATAATAATATTAATTTTGGTCACTTGTTGTTGAAGATGGTCGAACATTTTTGAACTAACAGCCAATTGGCAAACAAAATCTACTTGTATACGTGACGTCATGTATGCCCCTCAGAATACTAACTGTAACCTGATGGGGATATACTTTGATACCTCTATATTTCATGATGAATAGCATATAAATATTCTTCCTTTTCTTTCTCTCACGCCACCAGAACAATCGTTGGGAGATCCTTTGTTGTATCAAGGGCAGCAAGAAGAGCAAAGGCAGCAAAGACTCCTCCATTTGCTACGACATCTTCCAGAGCGCTTATGCTCCCTTCCTGATGAAGGTGGGTGACTGCACCTAATTAGCTCATTTGAACGACGAGGAAAGTGGTTACGTACAAACTTATATCGTAATTGTGGTGTAACTCTCATGGTAGACCGATTCTCTTCTCCCCAAACTTATCTCAGGAATATATGATACTGATATTCATTATCTCATTTATCTAGTTATTTATAAACTTAACGTTTGGAATAATTCCTACATGAAGAATGATGATATAGATTTTGCTTTCGCTCTGATTATAGTGCTCCTAAGTTTCATTAAATTTTGCCCTTTATATGGTAGTTTAAAGATGGTTGTGTGTACGTGTGTGAATATGTATATGTGAGCATACACGAGTGTTTGAGTCCACACTTTTATGCATATTTTCTGCTTGTGTTTACGAAATTAAATAGATATCTATTTTCATCTGGAACAATAACCCCTTTCCCTCCCCCGTTGGTGCAGGACGTAGTGCGGGTGTTGATGTGTCTGCTCACCCTGGGTGTGTTCTGTGCCTCCCTGGCCGTCACCCCTAAGATCTCCGTCGGCCTCGAGCAGGATCTCTCAATGCCTGAGGACTCCTACGTCATCAAATACTTCGACGTGAGTACTGTTACAGGGGCACAGGGTGAGATTGACTACTTTTACAAGGGTGAGACTGAGTCTGTTGTAAGGATGATACAGTACTGAGTACTATTGCAGGGTAAGGCAGTACTGTTGCAAGGGTGATACTGAGTACTATTCCAAAGGTCAGTCTGAGTACTGTTGGAGGGTGAGACAGTACTGATGCAAGGGTGATACTGAGTACTTTTGCAGAGCTGAGAATGAGTACCCTTAGAGGGTGAGACAGTAATTGTTGCAAGGGTGAGAACCGTGAGACTGAGTACTAGTGCAGGTGGCCTTGTCATAGGAGAGAAGATAAAATTCACTACAGCTGTCCAGGATATGAGAGAAGAAAAATGAACAAATCTGCAGTGGTACAGTGGGAACAGCAACCATATTGGGTGTCAGGGAGATGGGGGATAGTAATGATGATGATGATGGTACTACAACTACTACTACTACATTTATTTTATTTATTAATTTATTTTTTTAAATGGCCTCCAGCCTCCCCCAATAGCCATACCTTCGCCGCCATTTTATTACCTTAATATTAAATATCCTAATACATAAGTAGCTATCCTAGCTGTGTTGAGTTAGTTGAGCCGCAGATCTATGCGGCATTCAGTGACTGTAGCCTCATAGTCAATATCTGCAACTATTGTCGGCTTTAGGGCCGATGCTCTCGTTCCCCTGAGGCAGAGCAAAGCCGACCGAAGGAGAGAGAAGGACAGTCGACATATCATCCAGGCTGTAACAAACTTCTGGGCTGCTGATTCTATTCGGATATCACCTCTGCGAGTCTGGTGTAGAAGCATCTTGCACTTGGTCCCATCCCACCAGAGGTTGTGAACTCTAGAGGAGTGAAGCTGCCTTGAACAACGTTCTGAATTCTCTCCCAGTATGCCCTTATCTTGTCGGTCTCGTTCCTCCTGTACGCAGCATCGAGAGCTAAGTTACGGTGACATGCGACCATGGGATGAAAAATCCTGATGTCGAAGAAGGCTCGCTGTCCCCGCATCCAAAATCCTCGAGCACTGACGTCAACACGGGCTTCGTTGGATGTGTTTGAAGTCCTATGTTGGAAATTCTCACCGTTCAAAGGAAGGAGGATCGGTTCTACCCTGAAATCACGGCAGATTTCCTTCAACATATTTGCTGTGAGATCCCTTACTTCGTTATGCCTCATGCATATGAGGCCCCCTTTCTTGCATACCATGGCGTGATCGACGTCATAGGAAGAGCCACACATACATTGAGAGGGCAAAACTTCTATTGGCCTACCGTACCTTAGAGCATTGGCATCTGCAAACTCTTGTTTACTGAGACTGAAACCATTTGCCCTTATCATTAACGTAGTTAACCAGTTCAAGGCGCCCACCTCCTGTGCTATAGCTACTTTTTTTTTCAAATTCTCTGGTACTTGCAGCAACAGTTGCTGCAACCTATCACTTTGGCTGTGCTGTCGTAATGGACCTTTGAATCTTGTTAACTTCACTGGTATCCACCTCCCCTGTTGCGTTCTGAGCTATTATGTGGTCTGTGAGGGCTGACGTGAGCTTAACTGAGTTTTGATGTTCGGTGGCAGCAATCTCCTCTGGATTGATTAGTCCCATTCTTCCCAGTCTCTGTGGTAGTGGAAGGAGTGATCTTTCTGCTGGGGTTTAGTGAGGGTGTTTCCCTAATTTGGGAATTAAATTGACACTGATAGCTTCTTCCAGAGGGTGGACGAGGGGTCCGATATCAGGGATAGTGCGCATCAGGTATTTCCAGCGATGCTTGACTCCATGGGTGAATGCAGCAAAAGCCGCATGTGGCTCTGTGTTAGCAATCTCAGACAGAGCTTGAATTTCCATAACCCACTCATTCACATTTCCCGTTACGTACTCGGTCTTGAAGTCTGTCGTGGCAATTATTGCGCCTAGGTGTCTTTGGCCATAGTTTGTTATTTTGACCGCACTTCCACCGAACACCTTCATTGCCCGTTCATAATGTTCTGACTTCACAATGAGGAAGGACTTGTGGGCCTCGTGATGTTACCAGGTCCCACCACTTTTTGATGTCCTCCACTTTTCCTGCTCCTGTAAGGTCATCAGCGTACCCCACTTGCTTGATCTTAGTTGTTTCAAATTTTATTGTGTGTTGGAGCATGGATAGGCCTATTGCGTACATTGCCATTGCAACAGGGACCCCCTGCGTTGTTCCCTCGGTTGACTGTATGATGGTATCACCGCTTAGAGCCTTGTTGTTTACTATATAAAGGTCTGGTGGATTCCCATAGGAGTTTTCAATATACATTGCAAAGCTTGGACACTTGGTCTTGATGTTGTGCAGTGCGGCCTTGCGGTTAAGTATGTTGAATGCTTTTGAAGAGTCTACCAGGAGAACGGCCTCACAATCGCTCTGCTCATATATCGTTCTCATGGCGTGAATGGTAGCTTCCCCTCCAGCCTGGTGGCCAGCACAAACTTACAGGTTCCCTGCTGCTGCCCTGACATCATCCTTTACCACCTCCATTATGCATTTTCCGATGATCCGCCTCAGCACTTCCCCCACCCCTATAGGCCTACATCCTGATTCTTATCCAGGGGAATGAGGCGGCAGGCCGTCAGAGCATGGAGGTGTTGGCAGCACGAGGATGCCAGCTTTCTTGCAAGGACGGCAGTGCAGAGATCACTTGCTACGGGGCCAAACTTGTTAGTGCTGAGGATGACCCTCCAACCGCTTGCATCCAGATCTGAAGGGCCAGCACCTCCCTGAGTCTTCAGTGCCTTTTTCCACACCATGCCTCCTGTTATTTTCTCGAACAGGACAGCATTTGGTGGGATATAGTCACCCTAGAACCTGATGCCTTCGTCTTCACTTGCAGGGGGGTGTTTTTCTTTCAGTTGTTTTAATATCTCTCTGTTTATTGGCAGAACACCACCGGAGGATTCCTCTGTGAGAGATCTTACCGCCAAAGACACTTTTCCCACACGCATATTGTTTCCAAACTTTCTTGCAACGTCATCGGTGTTTTGCTTTCCGTCTCCTATAAATTTTAGTCTCTCCTGCAGTGCTCTTGCTTCACATAGGAGATCATCAAGGGCCCCATTCTGCCACATTGTCAATCTTCTCTTCATTGCTGCCGCATTTTCTTTGTGCTTAGTCTTTGTGTGTGTCCTCTGACAGAATAGATGTGGTATTATTGCCAGTATTTGAAGAGCTAAAGGGGCAAGGAAGCAGTCCTGAGTGTAATCAGTTATGAGGCGAATCATCTCTCGAATCATTTCTTTGGTGGCCGCCCACTTGGGTGGTTCAATCATGTTAGCTGGCGACCACCTGACAATTTCAGAGTAAGTTTCTTTAACCCATATGTCCGCATTTTCCATGGACATGCCATTCCACTGTGGTGGCTGTCTCTCATTCACCTCGTGGACATCTGCTACTATTGGAGCAGCATTTATTAGTACTACATTTTCAGGTTGAGTAGACTCACTGCTATCATTTAGGATATCGTCGGGCGGTTGGTTGCCGGCGATATCCACTGTGGCCTCCTGTGTCAGCTCCCTGCCATGTGGGTTCCGACAATTGTTTCCCTTTCTGCAAACCACACATGGTCGGTTGTTTCTTGCACAATCACAGCTAGTGCAATTTTGGTACTGGCTAGCACAGACGCCGCAATATCTGTTACCCGGCATAGTGTTCCATACAGAAGAAGAAACTAGTTCTCATGAGTAAAGGGCAGAGAGGTGACAGGCTGGACTGCTGTGTCCGGGTAGTAGGGGCATATGTGCGCGCATGGGTGTGTAGGCCACTCCCCTGTGGGCGACAATCTACACATCAGAGTGATACACTGGGAGCAAGAATTGTCACCCCTAACACTTGTTTATACGTCCTTGGCAGAAATAATCACGATTTCTATGGTTGCACTGATGTAATATTAGTTATATATACTCACTTGGTCGGCCGACACTACATGAAGTGACCGTTACTTTGGGGGGGGGGGGGCGACCACAAGCATAGAGCTCTTGGCCCCATAGCGGCGAGAGTCTCGATGCCACCCCTTCCAAAGTAGGCCAATCGACACTGGCACTGGCACCTGGCACCTGCAGTAGCCGTGCAGCCAAATACTCACAAACTCGCTTGGTGATCGCCGGTGAACGTACGGAATATTTGCGATTAATGCCGAAAGGGATGAGAAGAAACGTCGGTGACAATGCTTAGGGTGACATCCGATATTCACCGACACACTGTGAAATTCCCGCTCCCTCACTCCGAATATGTCCACTCCAATAACACTTTAGATCAGGGAGGACACTCTACCACACCCACGCCGCGCTGGCCCACTAACACTACTATTACTGCTACAACTTTTTTTTTTTTTTTAACGTGGCCTCCAGCCTCCCCCAATAGCCACACCTTCGCCACCATTTTATTACCTTAATAATAAATATCCTAATACATAAGTAGCTATCCTATCTGTGTTGAATTAGTTGAGCCGCAGATCTATGCGGCATTCAGTGACTGTAGCCTCATAGTCAATATCTGCAGCAGTTGTCGGAATTGGGGCAGAAGCTCTCGTTCCCCTGAGGCAGAGCAAAGCCGACCGAAGGAGAGAGAAAGACAGTCGACATCTCATCCAGGCTGTAACGTAACTTCTGGGCTGCTGCTTCTGTTCGGAGATCACCTCCGCGAGTCTGGCGCAGAAACATCTTGCACTTGGTCCCATCCCACCAGAGGTTGTGAACACTAGAGGAGTGAAGCTGCCTTGTTCAACGTTTTGAATTCTCTCTCCCCATATGCCCTTCTCTTGTCGTTCTCGTTCCTCCTATGTGCAGCATCGAGAGCTAGGTTACGGTGACATGCGGCCATGGGATCAAAAATCCTGATGTCGAAGAAAGCTTGCTGTCCCCGCGTCCAGAATCCTCGAGCACTGACGTCCACACGGGCTTCGTTAGATGTGTTTGAAGTCCTGTGTTGGAAGATCTCACCATCCAATGGAAGGAGGGTCGGTTCTACCA